GGCGGTCCAAAAGTCTGCTGTGAGGTTAGCAGTGGGCGGCTTTTCTATACAATGTATCTCTGTAATGACATACTGGTGTTGAATTAAAGATTGTACAGATCATCACAAACACATCACACTCAGGGTGGCCCGTTCAGTCAAAACGGTATCGTCAAAACACAGGAAACGCTGTTACAAAAGTACTTTTTTTTATTAAAACATACATTACATAAATAAAAAAAAAACATTGAATGGAAATCAGATGAAGATTTTACAGGTATGCTACAATCTTGTAGAAGAAACATGATGTCCATATTGCTTTTGGCTAGGCAAGTGCACACAGAATTGTCAAAAAAAAAATCAAGATACATAAATATGGAATTTAAAATGAAGCCCCTGTGTTTTAATAACAAAAAGCGTGTCTACTATTTCCTCTAAGTGCTGCGTAATGGATGTCACACAGACGAGAGGTCATTTTAACAATGACCCGTCTCTGTACTTCTATAGCTAATAAATAAATATTTAGTGCATATTCCCATTTACCTCGGTGAAGAGCCAAATGAAAAACAAAATTTAAGTTAAAAGATGAACCAAAGTCAATTTGGCTCCTCTAGTTTAAGAAGACAACAGTCTATTCATGTCATTGATGGTCAGACAGGCCAGCTATCTGCATCCCTTTTTCTTTTTTCAATCGTCATTAACATAACAAACACATGTCGTTTCCTCCTTAGTTCAAAATGACATTGTCGTGTAATTGCCTTCAATCAAGCAGGCCACTCTTTAGACTGAGAAGTGGAGAGAAAATCAGTTTTTGGAGCAAAACAAATCTGTTCCTAAAAAACAGTGAATGTCCTATAGATGATTAAACTATGAAAGGTGGTCTCAGGGTGATATAACCAGTGGTGGAAAGTAACTAAGTACTTTCACTCAAGTACTGTTCTTAAGTACACATCTGAGGTACTTGTACTTTACCTATTCTTCTAATATACTACATTTTGGAAGCCAATATTGTACTTTTTACTTGTAGATTTTGACACACAATAATTTGGAAAAGCTCTTAAAATAAGATGTTTTGGTATTAAACCATCCAACATTACTTTTAGGTAACTAGCACGAGTGGGTTAACACAAAATGAATCGGCAGCTTCTTAACTGTGAAGATTTACTGCTTCTGCTTTAAAGTTCTTAAATATTTAATGAGTTTTTTCTGCAACAAGTACTTTAAGCACATCTTCCTTATCATACTTAAATACTTTTGCTTGAGTACCATTGTCGATGCAGTACTTTAATTCAAATTGAGTATTTTTAGAGTAGTATTAAATACTTTTGCTTGAGTACCAGTCAATGCAGTACTTTTACTTCAAATTGAGTATTTTTAGAGTAGTATTAAATACTTTTGCTTGAGTACTATTGTCAATGCAGTACTTTAATTCAAATTGAGTATTTTTAGAGTAGTATTAAATACTTTTGCTTGAGTACCATTGTCAATGCCGTACTTTTGCCTCATATTGAGTATTTTTAGAGTAGTATTGTTGATGCAGTACTTTTGAGTGGTATTAGTACCCCAGTAAAGACTCTGAATACTTTTTCCACCTCTGGATATATCCCCTGTTGTGATAGTTACTCCGATCAGAGACTAACTACTTCCTCGTTCACACGTACAGAACTCTTGAGGAAGACGTTTATGATCAGTGCCGTGTGCAAACCTGTTGTTTTTATTCTGTTCTAATCCGCTAAGTACAAGCAGATGCTCCGTGTTTCTACCGGACATTTTCTCCAACATTGATAAATCCTTCCTCACTTTGCGTCTCGCCAGCAAACCGACTTCCCAAGTTTCTCCCTTGTGGTTTGTTTAGTTAGTCCATAAACACATCAGTGCTTAAGTCGTAATCTGAGCTGAAATGTATTGAAATGTCACAATACTTAATTTAAAAAAAAGAGTCCAGTGCTATTTTAGATGAATTTAAGAGCTGTGTGTCGGGGACTGAACCATTTCCATGTCTTTTCTCATCGAGTGCTCCAAGGCTATTTGGTGAAGTACAAAAACAACAAGACACTTTTTATCAACACTTATAAATCACTAACAGTGGTTCTTTGGCAAATGTTCAGTAGCATGTCCGCTCCTCTCGTCTTTTAACTCTCAATTACCTAACTTTATCGCTCCGAAATACGTCCCTTCTCCCTCGGGGTCCAGCACCCAGGCGTTGGACACGGTCACGTACAAAGCGTCCCCATCCTCCAGACGAACCCCTCTTCCTTGCTGGGCGCAGTACATGTTATAGCTGGTGATGTTCCAGCGCATGGTGCTGCCCGTCTTCATCAGAAGCGCTGACTTGCTGTTCTGTTTGATCTTCTCGTGGTACACGTACTGGATGAGCTGCCGGTTGCTGACGTCCACCTGGCTGCCGTCCTCCAGCTCAAGGTTGTAGTAGCGGAAGCAGGTTTTGGCGTAGATGTAGTAGAAACCCGCCTCCTCCACCAGCAGCTTGCCCTTCTGGTAGCCCATCTTGTTGCGGTATCCGTGCAGCTCGTCCCAGTCGATGGTGACGGCTTTGGGCTCGCCTTCTAGACGGAGAGAAGAGCAAACTTTGGTTAATCTTCTCATGTGTAAGGTCTATCACTTGCATATTCGTGAGGCTAACTAAGGGGACATTTTAATGGACAAGCTTTTTTAAAGGTTTCCTATCATGCTATTTTTAGGCATATATATTATGGGTCTCAGATATATAAAAAAAACATGTCTATATCGCACGCAAATCTGGACATGTTGATGTAGAAAAGACATCAACAAGTGCATTTTGCATGATAGGTCCCCTTTAATAAGCGACACCCCCCCTTCAAACAGTCTTTTAATATTTTTCACACTTCTTTTTTTGCATTGCCCCCTGTATATGAACATTGCTAAACAAATGAAGATGTATTATTATTATTATTAATAAAATAAAGGGCTGTGTTACTAAGGTAAAATAACTAATACAAATGATGTGATGTTGCAATTGATGATACAGTTTGATTAAAGGGAATGATCATTATAATTGTGGTGTAAATATTTAAGAGGATCTGTTTCCAACAATACGTTTTTATTAAGTCTGTAGAATACGTTTTGTAGGCAGGGACTTCTCTGCAGCTCCACAATACTTCATTCAGATATTTATATACATACATACATACATACATACATACATACATACATACATACATACATACATACATACTATACATACAGTAGGCTACAGACACACACACAGACAGACACATATAGATATATTGATT